ACAGGCTGCCCAGGGGGGCTGTGGAGTCTCCTTCTCTGGAGATATTCAAAGCCCGCCTGGATGAAGTCCTGTGTAACGTGCTCTAGGAGAACCTGCTTTAGCAGGGGGGTTGGACTAGATGATCTCTCGAGGTCCCTTCCAACCCTTGCCAATCTGTGATTCTGTGTCCCCTCATCCTTCATTGCTCTGTTCACCCCACCTCCATCTCCAGGCACCGAGGAGCCCGCCTTAAAAACGCCTCTGCCCCTAGTGTCTAGTTGCAAGCAGAGGAACAGCAATTCCTTCCATTTGCATCTCGTTATTTAAAAGACATGGTTTGCAAGCTTTCTGCTTGGAAGGACACGACAAACACGCTGAAAGCGGGTGTGCATCCCATACCCCCGTCCCTTCCACACACCCCCAGCAATTCCCAGCTCAGCTGGAGCCTGGTGTGCCACGGGCTGGCTCTGAGCCACATCCACCCCCAGGACCACAACCCAACCCTTCTTGGTACCTCTGTGCTCTCACCTTGCCGTCTTCGTGATAGACAAAAATGTTCCTTGTGCTGTTGTCCTTCAAGTAAGTGATCTGCAGTCCGTGTGGGTTCCCGATTTTTGCAGGCTGGAAAGTCGCATTTAGATGTTCAATCTTCATAATTGCTTTGGGTTCTTTTGCCTGGAAAACACAGCTGAGTGAGCAAACACCTGAGAATCGGCTTTCAAACCAGAAAGCAGTTCACTTGGTCAGAAAAAACTCCCGATTGAGGTCGTTAGCTAAAAAAACTGACTCCCAGCCCGCAAAGCTGCCTGGTGATGAGGTATCAGAGACTTTGCTCAGGCGTCAGTGAGTGCTTTCTGCCGGCCTGGAAAAAGGCTCGGTTCTTCTGCAAAATTCAGCAGAGTTCAAGGGGAGAAAGGTTTCGGCCCAGAAGCAAGATGGACAGGCCAAGTCTCATGATAGGATGCTGTGCTATTAAGACAAGCATCTTCACCACACCTTCTCTCTCAGACTCTTTACCAAATGACCAGCATTTACACAGGGACAAGCACTATCAAAGAAAGAAAACCATTCAGCCAGACTAAAAAAAAAAAAAAAAAAAGCAGACTGCTAATTAACAGGCCAGGATGCTTTCTGCATCTCAAGCACCCACAGCCAGTTCATCCTTGCCCAAGAAGATGGAGGATTATCCCCCTTGCCAACTTCAGACCTGGGTGCTAGGCTGGCAGGGAGCACCATGCCCACGTCCCCACCAGTCCCATCCTCTCACAGCAGCCTGCTCTTCCCCTTGCCCTCCAAACATACACCTTACAAGCCCACCTCTTGGGTGGGTTAGCCTGACTGTGAGCCTGGATCAGGCCCTCCCAGGCACCGATCCCACCTGCACCCTCTGTGGCAGGTCACTTGAAGTTAGTAGCATGGTCCATCTTTCTGCAAAACATCTCTGGAAGTTTGACGCCCTTTCAGGACTGCACTGAGAAGTGAACTAGCAAGCGTGAATAAAACGTCCCAAAAAATAAAGCTCATGCTCTTGGTAGCAGCAGTTTTAGGGCACAGCCAGCAGCCAGCAGGTCCTGTGGTGGTACCATAGTCCCCAGCACCACGCGAAGTCCCTGATCTGGAGGAGATGCTAGTGTTGCTTTGGGAACTTGGGGACTTGCCGCGGACACATAGCTGCTGTAGGTGACCACAGTGGGGAAATCCCAGCAAAGAGGACTCGTCTAGACAGCACCGTTCCCACCACGGCTATGGTCAAGAACAAAGCAAAGCAGCTTTAAACTGCAGGAGCAGTCAGTAGCGACTGAATGAGGGCTGCCGGGACTTTCACTTCTCCCTTGGTAATGACTGGCTTTCTCCTGTCCACGAGGTGCAATTGCACCACACCAAGCTGAAGGAGAAGTCAACATATCAAAGCTGGCCACCAGGCGTGGAGAAGTGTGGCTGGATGTTGCCTTCCTCTGCATGGCATGGCTCACCACGACACCACGACTGCATCAGCAATGTGACAAAACTGGCTGGTGGCCTGGCCTGGGCTGCTCTCTGCTGCGACGCTCAGGGGAGACTCAAAGGTCAGAGGAAACACCTTGGCTTTCTCCACTACCTGCTGCAGAACAGTGGAACCTCTATCCATTCATCACAAATGTAATTTTCACGGTAATAGCTCCATTTCTCACTCAGAATAAATTAAATGTGCTCTGGGGAAAAAGACAAATGCTTCCTCTGCTTGATGCTGGAACGCAAAACCAGGGGGCTTTTCCTCTGGATTGCTTGCCATGCCATGCCAAGGAGGTTTCAGACCCCCGTGACCACTGTGAGGGGGTGATACCTTCATCACAAGCTAGCCACAAATATGAAACCCACGCCGGGTGGATGACGCAGGGCCAAAGCTGAGAAAAAATCCTTTGCTGGTGCTTTAAGAAAGGCCTTGTTGACTCAACAGAGCAGGAAT